TTTCATTTATTCATCAGGCACACCTTTACAAACACAAATAACGCCTTTTTAATTAGATGCCTAGACTATGACACTAATGTCTATCACTTGACCAAAGTCATACAGCTATGCAGTGGCCAAGATGGCAGCTCTGACCCCAGCACCCACATTATTCAACCTGATGGCAGGATGACTGAGCAGCAGCAGCAAGGTAATCAGTGGATGTGGAGGTTCACTGCCATCACCGTCTGGGTACTGTTTACCTTGAAGTAGATTTCAAACAGATTGGGAATTCCAAAATACTCCTGTGTTACCACTGACAAAAGTAGTTGGTATCTTCAATTTAATCTGCATTTCTCTTTTTATGTATTGGGTTCCTGTATAAATTTCACTTACTGAAAAGGTTCAAAATTAAACAGTGCTTGAAATACAGTGGTTATGGAGGTAGCTGTAAAGTTGCCTTAATGTTTTAAGATGTTGTGCTGCAGAGGTAGTTCAGTGGTTACCAGCACTTGTTGCTCTAGCAGAGAATTGGGTTCAGTTTCTAGTACTTACATGACAGTTCACAACCACCGTAATTTTGGTTCCAGGGGATACAGTATGTTCTTCTGATCTCTGTGGCACCAGGCATGCATGTTGCACACACGCACACACACGCGCACACACACACACACACACACACACACGAGGGGGGTAATACACATAAAATGAATCTTTAAAAGAAAGTTTTAAGGTGTAACTTAGAGCCTGGGACGGTAGCGCACACCTTTAATCACAGCACTCAGGAGGCAGAGATAGACAGATCTCTGTGAGTTGGAACCCTGAAGCATAAGCCTTTTAAGTTACTTTGAAAACAAAAAGTACAGGAATTCAGTAAATGGCTGTGCTGCTTCAGATTTAAACTCTTTAGTAGAGCTGCAACAACCCTTAAAGTCTTGACCAAGACTTGCTTGATGGGTGACAACCACCACCTCCTAAGGGCCTTGTGCAGTCAATAAATGTTTTCTTACAAGCAAGTGCTACACTCATAAAAAAGCAACAACAAACAAAACAACAACAACAACAAAAAACACAACAGAGCAGCGTGTTTCCATCTCTGACCTACTTGGGCCTTTATCGCACTACACAACTTAGTAAGTTCAACTTCTGTCAGTCTTGATGGACCTTTTGTCAGTGAGCTAATGCTAATCGGTCCCACTGTGCTATACACTTTCCTTGTCTTATAAAGGAATGTGTAGGCATGAGCACAACAGCAATACTCCCATTCTGCCAATAAGGCTCACTCTCTCCTCCCACTACAGACAAGTGTGCTACTCAGTACTGGGAACTACTTTGGGAGATCAAATTATAACAAAAGTGTCTGCTACCACCCCAGCACAGCAATGACATTAGTGCTGAGTGTAGCAGGACAGGACAGGAAAACATTCTCACACAGAAAGCTTGCTCACTGTGCTTACATCTCAACCGAATATAAAATGATTAACAGGAATTTCTATTTGATTAAAAAAAGTCATTTTGCCTTTGTCAGTGTTCTACTGCTGTGAAGAGACACCCCGAAAAACATTTAACTGGGGCTGTCTTAACAGTTTCAGAGCTTTAGTTCATTACTGTCATGGTGAGGCATGGCAGCATGCAGGCAGACACAGTGCTGAAGAAGCAGCTGAGACTTCTACATCTTGATCCACAGGAATCAGGAGGAGACACTGGGTACTGGGCATATATAAGACCTTAAAGCCCGCCCCCACAGTGACATACTTCCTCACAGCTCCTAACAGTGTCAAACATTCAAACATGTGAGTCTATGAGGGTCATTCGGACTCAAACCACTGCAACCTTCATAATACACAACATACACAATCAAAAACTTAGCAGAAATTAGAACACCAAGTCAAAGGAGGGCGGGAAAAAGGTAAGAGGTTTGGTAGGGGGTAAGAAAGGCAGCCAGCAGCCAGAACAAGAATGGAGGGAACAGAAGGCAGATAGGCAAGTTTGAAAGGTTAAAGCCTTTGTTTCTCCTGTGAGTTGCAGCAACATCTTCCATGATGCATAAACATACATTCTGATAACGATAAATTATGATTAACAATTCATTCTCAATCTTACGTCTTTGCCTTATCCTTTACTAAACTTAAAAACCACATTTGGCTTAAGTCAAGTTTCTCTGTCAATCTATAGCTTATTACCAATAAGAAATTTACCCATATACCCACATTTTGGAGGTGAGAAAAATAACACTCATATAAAGACTTGCTTTATCTTTCTCAAAAAATCATTTTCTCAGGAGAAAATTTAAACTAATTTTAACTCCTTTGGCTTTAACACTTAGATTACACAAACAGCATCTCGGACCATGAAGTCTGGCCCCACCCTAAGGGGCGACTCACCTTCTCCATTACATACTTCACTTCTCAGCTCTTCCCTGGCTAGTATTAGTCTAGTATCCTGGAAGAGAAAAACAACTTCCCACACAGCAGCAAAGGTTGTAGAATGAAAACTTAGGGAACCCTATTAGTTTGAATCCCTAAACAAAACATACTGTTTTTTATGGAAGAGGTCTATTTGTTTTTCATTTCAGAGCTCTACAGTCCTTCCTAAAAAACCCTGCTTAGATATAAGTAGCCCCATTAGAAAATCTACGATCAATCACAGAACTGTTATCTATTTGTAATACACCTACAATATATATGTATTATATACACACATACACACACAAGACACAAAAGTGGGAGAGCCAAGATAGAAGGTTGAAAGGACATGCCAAAGCCAACAGGTTCAGATTCTGGCATTCCTAAACTGTTCAGAAGTTTCCACCCCACACAGATCAAGCATGTTCTAACTCTAATAAAAACCAAGTTTGCTAAACAGACTGTTTCCTCTTCATCCTTGTTATACTGTGTCAGGAATGGTTTGGAATAGAGAAGCAGAGAGGCCAGTCAGTGGAGCCCAGGAATTATGATACAGATCTGCAACTAAAAAGGTCAGAAATAGAGTAAAAACAGAAACGAAGCCAAGACACAACAAATATATCAAACACACTGACAGTGTTCAGCACAGGCAAGCACTCAATATGGAATAATTTCTTGCCAACCTTATGGCTAACTATGCTTTTCACAAAACTGGCAGCTGGCAACATAAGCATCACAGCAAACAGAAGCAAGGGCAGGGTTTTTAACCTTTCTGGATGACAGCCTCAGACAATGATAGAAATATGGATTCCCTCACTAGAAGTTTACATAAAGGTATTGTACAATTTCAAAATTGGTCTTGAAATATCCTCAATTTAAGTTACAAAAGATGGCATCAAATAAAAGAAAAAAAATCAGACTCAGCAAGTAGCACTGATCCACTTCAACAGTCTCAGAAACTGTGTCCCCATGACAGGGCAGTTTTGGGTGATCCAACTGAACTTACTTTTCAAGTTTCTGTCCTAGAGGTTAAGTCACTTAATAACCGGTTATTTCCATTAGGGAAGACAGACAAAGACAGTAGCAGTTAGTATGTCCACAAAGCTGCTTTTCACATCACTTGTTTACTAGCTCTTGTATCAAAACCAAAACAAAACCACACCAAACAGAAACCAATTCACAGGGCAATCTAGCTTCTCTTCTTGACCTTCTCACAAAACACCAAGGTAGCAAGTAGAAATTCAGAAGAAAACGGTTTCATCTTCTTAAAGGAAATAAAACCCTGTGTATTCAGGGAAGTCTGATGTTTTTAGGTGCAAATACAGCACTCACACTATCTCAAAATCATATCCAGAACAGGCAAACTCTAATATAGGCACGTCTTATGAATTCTGGCCCAGAAAAATGCTAGATGCTATATAAAGAAACACTAAACACAAAAATATGTAATAGTGCAAATATTTTTCTTGAAAATGTGACCATAAAAACAAGGTCACTCACTTTAAGAAACTATAGTTCTCAAGTAACTTTTCGTATCAAAACTGAGGCTGGACATTCCACATGCGTGCATGGTAATTGAGAACTGAGGCCGAAATGCTCTCTGGCCCTGCAGGGCTGATATTGGGCCATTAACAGTGCAAACAGCAATCAAAGAAGACAACATCTAATGCTAAAGACACCAAAGTCATATGTGTGTTATTTTTCTCATTTTGAAAATCTGAAGTCAGGGCTGGGAAGACAGCTCCGTCAGTGCCTATAACTTCAGAAATGAGATGGAGAGGAGGGGGACAGGGGTTCTCAGACCTGTGGCTGACCAACCACTGAGCTTCAGTTTAGTAAGACCTTATCACAAAATAAATAAGTAAATATATAAATAAAAGGAAAAGGCAGTCAAGGAAAAAAATGCCTGAATGAGCTTGCACACCCACCTTCACTAACAAGTACATACAACACACTACATACACATCCAAAAAAAGTAACAAAATTTCGTGTATTAAAATACAGATTTTTCATATTTTACTCAACAAGCTGACAGTACACACACATCACCATCTTGGTTATCATGCCCAAATCACCAGCCCAGGAATTCCTGCATACCTTTCCAGTCATCTCCCCTTCCAAACTTTTGAGTCTGACTTCTTTCACCACATAATTCATCTGTTCATTCTGATTTCTTTTTGTATATACTGTATAGTTCTACTCTTTATAAAAGAGTAGCATAACTTATATGTACAACATATAATATATTATATATGTATATATAACATATAATGTGAGATTCACTCATGTGGCTGCAGTATTTTCCTTTTTACTGCTAAGCAGTATTCCCTCTAATGACTACAATTCACACTGCTATTATTGGGCTGTGGGGATGTTCCCAGTTGAGAACAGTGATAGATAGCCCTGATGGATTAAGCATTCTCATAGAGGCTGGAGACATTAAGATCATGTGCTGCATGTCTCTGGGTAAATGCTTTGTAATTCCACTTCTAGGCTATAAACACATATTCAGAAAACACTAAGGGTTTCCCATAGTCGTTATCACTGGCCTCCCACCAGCAACGTGCCAGAGTCCTAGTGCACCCCTACAGGTTCTGTCTGTTCTTAGGAGCTCACCTTATGTGCCACTCTGGCACTGGCACAGTCTGCTTCCTCACAAACCCAACTACCCAGAGGACTCACAGACGGCCTCTACAATTGGCATTTACCTTGAATCTGGGCTAATTACCAAGCAGGGAAACAGAAATGTTCTAGAAGGAAAAAAGAGCATGTATAAGGGTTAAAAAATGTACATACCATTTTCATAATAAAAAGCAAAGCTAGAGCAAGTCTGTGAGACAGGAACATGAACTCAATCTATACTCTCATTACAGCACGTGCCTTTCATGGCCTCCGCCATTCTTATTTGTTCCAAGTCTATCTTCCCCACTGACTCGAACTGTGCTTGACTTCACAAGAAGTTATAATCTGGCATATAAGAGGTCTGGTATATAAGAGGGGCTCATTAACTATTTCTTGATTATATGTTAGGCAGTAGCAGATGCGAAGCAAGGGCTATGAAGGGTATCTGTACTAGTTCCCCAAAGCATTCATTTGTTACTTTATACTTGCATAGATCACATTCCCAGCTGAGTTCAATGTCAGCTAGATCCTCTGCTTAGAGCATGCAGCTCCAGTCAAGGTGTAAGCAAGCTCAGTTCTTCTTTGGGAGCTCCACTGGGAAATAACCCCTTTCCAAGCTCATTCAGACTCCTAGCAGAATTGAGGTGATAGGACTGAGGGTCTCAGTGATTCAACTCTTGACTGAACCATCACAAAAGGCACCTTGTCAATATGGCTGTTCATTTATAATAACAGCATTGAGTCTCTGGTGAAAGACTGCTCAGAGGACCAAGAAGTCTTCCTTTTCTTTTGAGACAAAGTCTCATATAACCTAGGCTAGCTTCAAACTCACTATGCAGCTGAGGATGACCTTCAACTTTTGATCCTCCTGCCTCCATCTCCCAAGTGCTAGATTACAGGCATGCACCAATTTCACCTGATTTATGTGGTACTAGGGATTAAACCCAGGGTTCATGCATGTCAGGCATTCTACTAACTGAGCTACATGTTCTAAAGCATCGTGTAATCATGTGCTACCCTCTACCTCTAGCTTCTTATCACTCTTTTCAAGGCTATCAACAAGCTCTTTTTTAAAAAATCTATTTGGAAAAAAAATTTACATGGACACTCTGAAGTTCTACATTTTATACATAATAGTTCTAGGATTTTACATGTAACCATGAAAACCAGCCAGGTGGTAGTGGTGCATGCCTTAATCCTAGCACTCTGGAGGCAGAGGCAGGCAGATCTCTTTGAGTTTGAGGCCAGCCTGGTCTATAGAGTGAGTTCCAGGACAGGCGGGACTACACAGAGAAACCTTGTCTCAAAAAAATCAAAAAGAAAAGAAAAGAAAAAAAAAACTGATGATGTTAAGATGTATTCAACCTAGTCAGTAGGAACGTAAACAGTGACACCAAAAGAATGACCAGCTGCAGATACTAAAGTAATAGTAATACTAATATTATTATTATTATTAATAATAATATTAATTATTACTATTATTATTAGTAGTAATAATAGTAATAATAGTAATACTAATTCTGTTAGTAATACTAACAGAATCAAGAAATAGAAGTCAAATTCAATAAAGGGGCATACAGAATGCAAGGCAGGTCAGAACACTGTTAGCTGAGACACTCAGCAGGTGAAGGCAGTTGTCACAGTAAGCCTGGTGACCTGAGTTCCATTCCCAAAATGTTACATCTATTCACATGTAAATGTGAAAAGGAGAACAGAGTTTACAAAGCAGAGGCAGGCAGAGTGGCAAGATGGTAGCAGACTTCACACAGCACTTCCTGGTAGAGAAGAAGATGCTTTTTCTTAGTACATACTCTTGCTGCTGAAGGTCTTGTATCAAGTGGCCCGCCTATCAGTGGAGGCGGGGAGCATCATCTCAGGGAATATGATGCACCGAGGCAAGTGAACCCTCATATATACACACCATGGGAACACAACACCAGCACTACAACAATACCTTTTTAAAATGAACACCAATGACTACCTTAAAGACAAAGGTTTTCCATTCTTTCTCCTTTACCTTGTTGTTACTAACTCTACTCAAGATACACAATTTTTACAGCTGTTCATACAGAGTTAGTTAGGTCCTCTAGTTGAGACTTCAATATTCACCCTCAAATTCAGTATTAATGAAGCCAGAAAAGAGCACCAACTAAGCATACACTAACACTGGCATTTCCATCTGCCTTTCATTATTATCTCTGCCACCTAGCGGCAGGATCAAAAACCCAAGGAAGCCAGACTTCACAGATAGCTTTATTAAGTACACAGAGGGTGGGGAAAAGCCTGCTTTATTTCAGTATGGCTACGAAAGGAATTTTAAATGCACTTGCACCAGCTGACATCTTCGGTCTGTCTAAATAATTACATTAGTCAAGCTTATAACTTAAGATACGGAAATGCTAAGAAAAGTATGCCAAAACAAGAATGTACAGCAGAAGACTACAAATGATATGTGAAAAAGAACTTCAGGGGCTAGAGTGATATAGCTCAGCAGTTAAGAGCATTTACTGCTCTTTCAGAGGTACTGAGTTCAATTCTCAGTACCCAAATGATGGCTCACAACCACCTGTAATGAGATCTGATGACATCTTCTGATGTCATGGCAAGGACACATGCAGGCAGAACACTGTATACATAATAAATAAAACAACAACAAAAAAAAAGAACTTTAAATCAAAGGAACCAAACAGTCACTGCTGGACCACCATAAATGTACTCAGTAGAGCACAGGCACTTGGCCCTGAGATGATGCTCCCCGACTCCACTGATAGGTGGGGCCACTTTGATACAAGACCTTCAGCAGCAAGAGCATGTACCGAGACAAAGCATCTTCTCTACTGGTGAGTACAGCAGGAGAAAGGGCTGTGGAAAGTCTGCAATGATCTTGCCAGTCTCCTTTAAGTCACCCTCATTTTTCTCCCTCAAAGTGAGGTGTGCAATCAGATAACACAGCAAAACTTCACAACACACATTAACCACAAATAAGGACCCTGTTTCAGTCCCATCTGATAATATCTGCTTTAACTGTCTTCCGCCAATTCCCCTGGAAGTGGACAATCTCTTTGAACTATCAACGACATGCGGTTTGTTCTGTTTTGGGAGAGGCTCTTCCTCTGAGGCTAGCTTGGCCTCAAACTTGGGATACTCCCACCTCAGCCTCCAAAGTGCTGGGATTACATGCACATCCTAGCACACCTGGCTATAATGGACATTAAAAAAAAACAAAACAACTTAACAGGAGGCTGGTAAGATGGCTCAGAGGACGGAAACCACATGGTAGAATGAGAACTGGCACCTCCCACCCCCACATTAAATAAATTTTATAAAAAACTAATTAGTGAAAAACAATGAAAAGTTAGCAAGAACTAAAAATGAAATATTCAAATAAGATATGCTATTATATGAACCAAAAATTTAGTACATATAAAAATGAATATTTGATTCTATCCAATGAGCTCTGCTCAACCAAGTTCAATATAGACTAAATCTAAAACTTAAGATATAGGAAAGATTGTGTTTTTTATTATACATACAATAATTATTAAATATACATACAAGATTTATTAAACAGGATTTGCTACAAAAATGTTACAGAAATCTCCAATACTACTTTAGACACATAATTATTTATTATCCTACATAAAGAGGCTTTCCAACTAATTAGCTATATTATATGTATTTCCATACATATAAAATATACATAAACCAGAAAATAAATTCATCTGCTATAGAAATACGATATACAGCAAACACAATCTAAAGTTAATAATGTCAACATGATCTACAATTTGCTATGATAAAAGTGGTTTGGTCAACTAAAACTCAAAAGCAAAATGAACATCATTTTACAAGAAATACTCTGGTGGGGGTGGGGCAGTAACAAGGGATAAACTAAAGGTTGTCATTCACAGAAGGCAGTGTATACAGGCCTTCTTGGACATTTTAGTTAAGACCTAAAAGGAGGCAAATTCATAAGCTGACATCCTTAAATACCTCTGTGTTTTAATATTCAACTTGGACACCAAGACAAAGGCCTACTTACTGAGTTTTGTTTTACAAATGGCCCATACCATACTCAACAAGGTGGAATTTAGCTTTTTTTTTTTTTTTGCCAAATTACTTGACACCAGTAATTTGTCTAGGTTAACAGGTCGCAGTCTTACTGTACTTAGTTTTCTAGAAAGAGTAATTAATGCTTTATGACCTTCAAGTCAAAGAGCAAAAAATGAACAAAAGCCTCTACATGCAATGATGGGAGTAACTGGTGGATAGCATTCCCAGATCAGACTTGGTCTCATTAAATTGTTCAGCCCTTGAGAACACATTTACCACACCAAGCACTTGAATCAAAGCCCCAAGAAGCTGTGTATCCACTACAAGTACGAATCCTTCAATATTGGCAGTAGTGGTGCATGCCTTTAATTCCATCAGACAGAGGCAGGCAGATATCTTGAGTTTGAGGCCAGAGCCTCAAACTACAGAGCTAGTTTCTGGTCAGCCAGAGCAACACAGAGAAACCCTATTTTGACACCCTCTCCCAACCTAAAGGGAAAATAAAAAGAATAGAAAACCCTTCCAATGAGAAATGCTGTTTAATTTCTACCTCTGTATTTGGATATTTATTACTTAATTCGTTTATCAAGACAAGGTCTCAATACTTAGTCTTGACTGGCCTGGAACTTAACTGTGCAAATCAAGCTGGTCTACCTACTGGTAGGATTAAAGTTTAAATAGGTGTGTGGTGCTGTGTTTGAGTATTAAATTCAAGAAATGTGAGGTGCCATGTTTGCACTAGGCCTACTGGGGTGCTACTGAAATAACCAGAAACTACACAAACAAATCTTCCTAATTTGAGAGCAGAGAGGAAGTGTCTACAAATATATTTGTTCAGGCGTGAAAGAAAGCAGTTTCATTTCCCTCAAAGCTTTGCATTCTGGACATCAATCCTGCTCAGTGGCATACTCATTTCTGAAGTAACTCAGTTGTGTTTGGTACCTGTCTACAGCGATCTAAGAACATAGGAAAAACAT